GGACATTGTCATTATATATCCACCATCAGCATCGTGTATAAAAGGGCATCACTGAGTGAGGATGCCTCATTCGAGAAGATGGCTCACTGAAGAAGATCTGGCTCGACACGAAGGCGAAGACGCAACGTCGAGGCGAACAACAAGCAGGGACCATCGACTCGGATCACCGGCTCTGAGGAAGACGAAGACGTCGAAACGTTAGCCGAAAATAAATATATTTATCAACCTCGTGTAAGCTTATCAAGAAAGAATACATATTGATTAATCACACCGAGGTTTAGGGAAGGTCGGTTTCGAAATATTACTACGCTTTGTGCTAGCTGATAATACACCGACCTCTGCACGATGTGCGCAATGATGTATGTCCGGAAGAAATACAAGTTGTTACCACCGGACATTGTCATTATATATCCACCATCAGCATCGTGTATAAAAGGGCATCACTGAGTGAGGATGCCTCATTCGAGAAGATGGCTCACTGAAGAAGATCTGGCTCGACACGAAGGCGAAGACGCAACGTCGAGGCGAACAACAAGCAGGGACCATCGACTCGGATCACCGGCTCTGAGGAAGACGAAGACGTCGAAACGTTAGCCGAAAATAAATATATTTATCAACCTCGTGTAAGCTTATCAAGAAAGAATACATATTGATTAATCACACCGAGGTTTAGGGAAGGTCGGTTTCGAAATAGACCAAATACTCCGCTAGGCACGCATCGGACCCAGAGACATAACGGGGAGGACTTTGAAGTATGTGTCACGACCCTTGCACGCGAATCAAGAACACAGGCGCGAAAAACTCTCGAGGCACTCTGGATTAATTCCAGAAATCCGAAAATGAACCGCAGGGAAGAATGCCTCATTATCACGCGTGATGTAGGGCAGTATATAAGACTGCTATTCTGATGAGTGGGGTACATTATACTTCCATGTGATTTCTGTGCGGTTGGTCTCTACGTGACATACTTAGTGGAGACCTCATAGAAAGCGGTGAGTGTGCAAAGCTGTGTTCAATGTGATTGAAATCTTGGTTTAGAGTTTCTTTGTTTGGTTATGGAGGCGTCTGGCCAAGTAGATTGCTGTCAACTTGACCTTTCCAGGCTCTGAGGAAGGCGAAATCCGCCGAAACGTCAGCTCATTTGTGAATAAAGAATAATAACACCTCGCGTTTGCTCAACAAAAATACGAAGAATTACTTGATCAATGCCGAGGTTAATAGAAAGTCGGTCGTGGGAGTGCCTGGAACATGTCGGAGAACCAGCCTGAGCTATGACGCGTGGTCACAAGGCAATCCTCCTTGCGGCCCATTCTTGGATTTTTCGAATTCATCTCAAATACTTCATCAACTTTGCGCGCTGATGTTCTGGATTCCTGTACGATGACAGTGATTTCTACTTCAAAATCTTTTCCACTATGTCTCTGTGTCCTATGTGCACCTAGTGGAATATTTGACTTAATTCACGAACAGGCTGAGGTTTCGGCACTTTTCGTCTTCCTCATAGTCTGGAAAGGCAATTTGAAGCTTGTTTTCTTAACTTTAAATTCACTAATTAGGTATTGTTTAAAAATTTAAAGTTTGAAAGGAGTTGTTCCTATGCAAATGGAAAGTTATTCTTTAAATTTAATCCTTTGAGGCTACGAAAGTGCTTGGGTGAATAAATTGAATGTACATTTGACCTCTCCAGACCTCGAAGAAGGCGAAACCGGCGAAAAGTCAGCTATACAGAATGAATAAATGCTGTAGTAACAACCACGTGTTGGCCTGATCAAGAAAACAATGAGGTCAGCCTATGTTTCGCCGCAAACAACACGCATTTTTATAACTAGCTGAAAAATAACGGTAGAAGAATTCCAGCTCTCAAACAAAAAACGTGGACTATGAGCTATGAGGAGGGTTCCATTGGGTTAATATCAATATAAACACTTTCAAGACACTAGAACTCTGCAAAAGCCACAGAACTCTATGGTTCACCTCTGTTTGTTAGGTCAAAGCTAAGTCACTATAGTTTTATGAAACAATTCAGTAACAAGTTCGATGGCCACGTCTATCTGCATACAAGATTGCATAACGATAGGGTATCTAAAAGATGACGTTAGACCATCTCAGGAAACCAAAGCTGTGTTACAACGAATAATTTGACAAGATACTTAACTAGAAATTTAAGAAAAAAAAAAGAAGAAAAACTATAGACTGCCTTATGGTAGATTTCGTGAGAACGTATTCGATGAATACATTCAATCTAAAGATAGTCCGATTTGACAATAATTCCGCACTGACCTTTGGTTCCTTACCATATAGTAGCACGAAGATCGCACTTCGAAACTTCAGCCTCATAGCACTCTCCACCTGCTTCGAATTGAATTCTAGTGTCTGTTCCAAGCTGTAACCATTTTACCGTCTGACTCCATTTCCTTATTATCATGTTATGTATTAGCCGGCCAGTGCGAAATATGTCTTCGAGTCGGTCTTGGGCACCGAATAACTACTAGTTTGAAGTAGAATGTTCGATTTTGTATGAATTTTCCACGCTGTTCTTTTTCTGTTGCCACAGAGCACAGTATCAAGCTTGGGTTATAAGTGTTTATAGTAATAATAACAATACAATATTAACAATCTGACAATATCCAAAAGGGTAAGGAACACTATTTGAGCGAGCTTTTAAATTGAATGACAGAAAATGCTCCATATATTCTCTCTACAATGGATGGGGTCTACCAAAGAAACTAGAGTTAATGTTCAGAAGAATACTCTACCACGTTTCTCAGTTGGTACAATCTGACAGAGCTGTTTGCACAGAAGGTTCGTGAAGACTGTACACTTATACAGAACATACATATGAAAGCGGTGGAGTAGCTTGAATTACGTGAAGGTCGTACAAAAGCTTATAC